TGTGGTGAAAACCATCTTTTTAAAAATTGTACCAAGAAGAATGATACACCGAAATGTGTCAACTGTCTCAAAGAAAAAAGAATGCAATACAATCACAATACTATGGATAAAACGTGTCCAACATACCTCAGAGAACGGACAAAATATATGAACAGAACCGACTATATAAGTTAACTACTCCGGAGATTGATCACTACTCTTTATCTCTAATATTTAGGTGAATATCAATGACATATTTGTTTCTGCAACTGTGATAGACATTACTTTGTGATTGCCTTGCAGCTTTTGAACTTTTGCAATACATATCTCATCTAATGGATAATTACATTTCACTATTTAGACATCTATTTTGTGAACATTTTGCACATTTTGATGTATCAATTATAATTGTATTTGTTTGCCAGCCTCAACATGGGAAGATTCTACTCTATGTACCTATTGTACTCTATATCATAATTAATTGTATTCTTACTTACTATGATAAACATATCTATTTGTAATCTTGCTTATTATGTATATAGTTTGTATATAGTTAGGTTTAAGTTTGTATTTATAACAGATAATTGTTATACTTGATGTAATTATTACTTTATGTATGCATTGATTTATTTATTTTATTTATTTATCATATCTACGTTTACTTTATATACGTATTTGTATGTATGTATATTCACATCCATCATTTATGCAAGTGTACTTCATTTCTCCTGTGTATTTTAAACTGAATGTGTATAACCGGTAATGCATGAACAGCGGGGCCGGTCTGTACTTTGTTTGTACAATTAAAATTGATTGATTGATTGTACGGAACGAGAAAAAAAAATAATGTACCGGAGTGGCAAACCGTGTGCGACCAGAAGAATGTCCACTGGGGCAGACCTCGTGAAATTGCCGTCATCGGATCTTAGCAAATGCGTGTTTTCTCTTCTATGCCATTAAATAAGTATGTTGGAACGGAAGTAGGAGAGACGATGGGAAATCGACGTACGTTTAGTCGTAAATTAAGTGAGAAATCGCACGATATGAGAGTCGCGAATAACGGCTCGTTGGTCTAGCGCAGCGGTCCCCAACCTTTTTATCGCCGCGGACCGGTCAACGTTCGATATTTTACCGCGGCCCACTGAGGGGGAACGTTGATTGTTTATATTTTAGATTGATTTAATTTAATAATTTTAATTTAATTGTATTTAAACATGCCTTCAAAATAAAATACAGTTACACCAAATAATGAATATAATGTGATCTAACATTTTAACTCACTAGAACGTTAAATCAATGAGAACCCTGAGCTTGTTTCTTTGCAACAAGACGGTTCCATCTGGAGTTAATAGGAGACAATGACACCCGAAATGTGTTTCTTATGTCCAGTTTATTCCATTGTTCCGTCGTCCATTAATTAAAAGTCGCATAAACCCGAGAGAAATACACCATAGTAAATAAAATGGAAATACCAGTAATTTAATGTTCCTTGGGCGGCCCGGTACCATTTTATCCACGGACCGGTACAGGTCCGCGGCCCGGGGGTTGGGGACCACTGAGTTAGAGCAGTAGCCTGACATCTTAACCACCTTGGCCATCCGGTTGTCTTAATTACATTTATAATACAATACTAAAATAAAGTCACGAATTTAAGCTTATAAAAATTAGAAATTAATTTAACATTACATGTACTGTGCAGTACTGTACATAAATATTAAAAGTTCAATTCAACAATTCTATTTGTCATACTAGACATATTTTATCATGCAAATTTTTGAAAGAACTAACTTCGGAAATTAATCTCACCTACATTTAATTTACTATCTATAATCTATAATATATCATAAATTAACTATAATAATTAATAAATTAATAAAATTATTATTATTAATTTTTCTTTATATTATAAAATTACTTTAATAACTTTAATGAATAAATGTTTACTAATTATTATTTTTAAAAAAATATTATATTTTACCTTTGTATATTTCCAATTTGAGAAAAGTTACATTTTGTTATTTCTACATTTTTCCATTCTAATGCCAGACATACTAGATTTCGTATTAAAAAATACAAAAAAAGTTAACACAGTAATATATAAAAATTAATGAAATGAAAATATTAATATAAATAAATAACATTTATTTAGTTTTACAGTATTTTAAAATTAATACTGAACATTTCAGAGCTTACTCATATAATATAATTTTCACATCATACTAACTGTTGTATAAATAAAGTTTTGATGTTAAGCATGCACTCGAAAAACAAAATAAAGTCACATACAAGAAAATAAATTTGATTTCAGACGAGATATGAGAACTAACTACTGGCGAGGATGGCTTATGTATTACTAATTATGCTATGGAGACGCCCATCGTGTCTTTACATAGAACTAGTCAACTTTATAGGACAGTGAATATTAATAATGTATTATATTTATGAAAAATTGAGTAGATATCTTGATATTCTAATAATCATTCATCTATTGTATGTTATTATTAATTACTCTCAGAGAAAAGTTAAATATTTTCCCAGAAGAAAGAATGAATGAACTCTAATAAGTAGTTGTTAATGGACATGCTTCAGAAGGGCGTAGACTTTAATTTGTATAAGTTAAAGGTATTTATAACTTTTATGAGCATTTAAAAAATACTTATAAATTTATTTTAATAAAAATATTTAGAATTTTTTTCATTTTTCCTATCTTTATTATAAAATAATTAATTATAAGATTGAATACATAAAATTTTAATAACTATCTCACTTTAAAGTGATAAATTAATTAAAACTATATTTTTTATTACATTAATTGTTAAATAAATAAAAATTACTTTTTAATGACTTAACACAACGTAGAATCAAAGTAATTATTGAAAAACATTTCTGTTTTAATGGTATATTTCTATTTTAAATTTATTTTTATAAATTTTAATCATAATCACATAGCAGCTTAATATATCGAAACTTAATTACTGTATTAAAATTTTAATATTTACGAAGATATTAAAATCTCTGTTACACCTCTGCGGTATTTATGATATATAACTAATACATGTTATTAAAAGTGTAATTTAAATCTATTTATTAGTAATAATTTAAATAAATCTTGCCTGGTAAAGCATTGATTAATACTGATTTCTGCAATTGTTCTTCGACATTAAGAGACGGTTTGGATTCCGATTTCTCTTGTTGTGAAGATCGAGTTTTAAGACAAGAAGAAGAAGAATGTGTATGAACGTTGGTATCAGAATTCAAAGAGTTTTCTTTCTTTATCCAAAGCGGTAGTTTAGGAATCGAATGACGACAATAGCCTAGTAAGCCAGAAACTGTCAGAAGTAAACTTATAACAGTAATTACCACGATGGTTCCCTAAAACACATGATTTCTTCTTAATTTCTTAATTATTATGAACTCTAAATGTAAAAACTGAATAACTTACTTGAATATAACTAGATATTACTTGATTTGTTTGATTAATTTCATTTCTATTGGAATTCATTAAAGCTAAACTTGTTACAATAACTCCAGGTACACTAGAAATTATATAAATATTAAATATATTTGTAAGAAATTTTATATTAGGTAATAGATTTGTACTGATATAAATTTAATATAAACTGGAGAAGACCTTAATATGTCAGAGAAATTATGAATTATTATTCTGTATATTTGAATTTTATAATTAATCATTTTAATAGAACATTTTTAAGCTAAAATTTTTAATATATTTTGATTTATCTGATTATTTACTTTACTTAAGAAAAAGTATTCAGTTTTTTTTTATTAATATATAATTTACAAGCTAAAAATAAGACTTTCAAATAAGATTGCAAATAAATTCCTAAAAGAAATAAAAATAAAAAAAAATCTTATTTAAAATCTTATTAAAATTTAATGCAATGCTGAAGAGTTTTATTTCCAATTGAAAATTTTTTAATCGTATTTATTTTAAATTTTATTTAAACTTTAAAATTATTAAAAGTAATAAAATTAAATACTAACAATAAATTTTTTTAAAAATTTTAATTAGTCTTATTATTAAAAATTTCATACCCTGAGATAATATTTTTAGTCCAATTTTCTAATAGTACAGTACATATAAACATTTTTATTAAAACCATTAAATATATGATAAATTTATAAAGTCATTATTAGAAAATTAAACTCTAAATCAAATATAGTTTATAGAAAAAATTATTCATATATTTCTTTAACAATTTTTTTTGTCTGAATTTTTTGTGGCGTTATTACATAAACAGACCTTAACCTTAACTAAATTAAATAATAAACGAGCAATTATTTATTGTAACATCGTCACAATGTCAGATTGAAATTTTTAATCATATTTCTTTAATTTATTTAATTTAAGCAATAAAAACTAATAAAAATAAAACAAAACTAAGATCAGATTTATTATAAAATATGATTTAACTANTATTTAATTTTTTTTATTTCCAAACTGATTTTAACCAGTTCTATAGTAAGGTAACATTCCAATAGACAATATGCAAAGTTTTTTTTTTCAGTTTACAGCCTTATTTATTACACAAAATTTAAGTAAAGCTTAACATGCCGATCTTGCCCCAATCTCTCCTATACATCATTTCAAAAATTAACTAAAATACTTAATTAATTATTAGATATGAAAATACTAAATGATAAATTATTTAATTTAAAAATGAAACTTAAAAGGCAGAATATAAGAAATTCGAGTTGATAAAAGTTTAATAAAAATTTTACTTACCAAAATCCTAAGATTGTTATAAATATAATTAAGTTTAAATTCATAATAGAAGCAAAACTATTCTTTCGAAGAAGCATTAAACCGACAGAGAGAAGTGAAGTCCAAACTCGATTCGACAAGGTTCCTCCTATGATCATTATCAGCTGTATATAATATAACGATTTTTCAGAAAATTTGAATTTCCAAAGTACAACTCCGAAGGAAATGATAAGCTATTTAAAAAATGACTTCAATAAACCACCACGAAATGAAATGCAATCAGAATATAATAAATGGTTTTAAAATATACTTACTTGACAAATTGCAATATTGAATATCATCAAATAAGGAATTCTTTTCCATTTTCCTTTGACCAGAGATATTATGAACATCCAAGTCTGTAATTAAGATGCTTGGGTTATCTTCAGGAACTAATAAAGTTCTCATAACTTGAGTCAAATAATACCATTTTCATCATGAATATTAAGCCTTCTCCTGTAAAATTTACTCTATTTTTATTCAAATATTTTAATGATTGGAGAAGAGATTTCTGTTACATAACGACTGAATCCGCTCGTGATGAGATAAATGATGCAAATGTTGATAAAAAATATTTTTTATTGGATAAAGATTCTTAACTAGTTATTAAATAAACCATAAAATATTCTTATTAAGTAATATAAATAAAAATAAATTGAAAGAATTATAATTTTGTATTTAAAGAAAATTTCTTACGGATGCAAATAAAGATACCACACTGATATATAATATACAATCATCTAATATAAACTGTGCTGAATTGACATTTTTTCCTGTAAATTCTGTTAGTTTGGAAGCAATAAAGATCAGTGGAGCCGAGAAGATATTGTTGAGAACCAAAGTAGAAGACAACTATAAAACAAGTTACAATTTATATATATAATATTTAAAGTCTGTTAAAAAATCACTGAAATTCATTGAAATACCATTTCTGTTGATAATCCGTATTGTGTAGCAAACAAAAGAACAATGGGCCCGCTCGGTACGGTTCCATATACAAAGGCATAATTTGCAAGATCACTCTTGTCAACGCAGACATGACAAACTACTTTCACCGATACATAGAGAATAAATGGAGCAACAAACCTGTGAAAATATTCTTAATAATATAATTAAATATGTCTAAATTTAATATGATTTATGATTTTAACTTACATTTTAAATAGAATGAGTAGAATTGAAGTTAAATTGACAGATTTCAATTTAGAATTTGAACTAAATAAAGTGAAACCCAAGAGAAATAAAATACTTGCTGAGAATGAAGAAGATAACATCTAAAAGGAAAAAAAATAATAATATTTTTAAGATAAGTTTTATTGAAATAATACAGAAAAATATTTTAAATTAATCTAAACTTCTTAATTTTATTAAAAGTAATTATTTATTAATTAATGACAATTATATAATTAAGTTTTAATTTAATTTGAGGTTTAAGAATTTGACGCGATATTTATTAAAAGTTATTTTATAGTCGAAATGAAATTCTTTCGTTAGACTTTTGCCCTTATCAATGTACTATATTTTAAATTTCTTACTTTTGACATTCTCCAGAATTTCAAAATCATTCCGAAAAATTTTATAAAAGATAAAATAATAAAAATTTTTCTAAAAGATAATCATCTAATGTAAATGTTTAATATATAATATAAAAGTTATAGTAAGCAATAACATTTCAACCATTAAAAACCTATTAAAAAATATATATTTTTGAAAATATTTTGATTTTTATTATTTATAAATATTTATATAT